TGTCTCCTTTTGCGTTTAGCCGCGCTTGGTTTTTTCGGCTTTTGGCGCGATCAACGTTTTCACCATATTTGGCGAAACGGCAAATGTTTCGTTTCTTAATATATTCAATTGCAAGCGTTGCATGAAATGCTTTGCAAGGTGAGGAGAGGCATGATCAATGAACAGCAAAATTCTATCTTTTTCAAACCTAATTTTTTGGGAAAGAATTTTTTGTTTTCGTTGGGTGGTAAATTTCAAAAAAAAAATTTTTATTTTTCTGAAATCGATCTACGTAATTCTTTTATGGGTAATATTATATACAGAAAGGTTCTTTTTTGCGGGAATATACAGAACCCTACAAATTAGTATAAGATTTTCAATGATTTTCAATTGTGATAATTTTCAAAAATCACTTATGTTCCTGTGACGGATTATTAACATGTGTCATATAATAATTAAAAAAAAAAATCAAAAATATGTAAATGTCCAACTCTTTTTGCATATCAGCTAATTTGTTTTTTGTATCCTTTTTCAAACCCTATATCTTATTATTATTGTGCCTTGATGTTAAACGAATATTTTTTTGATGTATAAACTGGTCAATAGAATGATAATTAACCTAAAAAAATTATTTGGTTCACTAAAAAAAACTATTTTAGTATTCAACAGCCTGTCATAACATTATGATCATACCATACTGAATTTTGGGTACAAACAAAATCAGCACATATTGTTTAAAAATTACAACTCAAAATTGTATATATACAAATTCATCTAACTAAAGCCACCACACACATCTCCATCCAACTGGTAAACAACCAACTTGTAATAAATATAACACTAATAACAATTCATGTGATCAATTCAAGGATGAAACAACTTCTGCAACAACTTTATTTTATTTTCACTTCTCATATCTGGAAAAAACCCTCAAAAAATTGTATACAAATTTGTGTGCATTATATTCATTTAATATTAATCTTGAATGTTATATGTACAATAAATATCCAAATGTGTGCTTAGTCTAGACAATTATAAATATATTAACCAATATCTCAAATAATTTTTAAATAAAGAAAATTTAATTATTGTTACATATCTTTGACTTTTTTTTTAAAAGCTATTTTTACTAAATTAAATAATTTCATTTTGTTTTCAATATTCTCAAGAACAAATTGGAAAACATAAATTAATTAAAAAACTATGACTTCAATAATTCATCCAAATGCTATTTACATCAATAGATTATTAATTAGAATTTACAGCTCATGAATTCTCATCCATTAGTGATCTTAATGGAAATTATTAACATATTAATTATTAAATATTTGTTATTAAATACTAATCTTTTTTTATAATTATTAATACTAGGCAAATTTTGCTACATGCAAGTTTGAAATAACAAGACCAGGCATACTAACAAAAATTATATATAAATTGATGAGTAGCACTAGTTTAATTAATATGCTTTGAATCATTGTAGGTAATCTGATTAAAATTCTGTATAATTAATTCTATATATATGATAAATAATAATTGATCTAAATATATACTGAACCAGGCACACAGAACAAAATATACAGAACCCAGACATACAGAACAAAATATACAGAAAGGTTCTGCATATTTGGCAAATAATAATTGACCTTCAATATATACAGAACCCAGAAATACAGAACAAAGTATACGTTCTGCATATTTGATAAATAATAATTGATCTTCAATATATACAGAACCCAGACATACAGAACAAAATATACAGAAAGGTTCTGCATATTTGATAAATAATAATTGATCTTCAATATATACAGAACCCAGACATACAGAACAAAATATACAGAAAGGTTCTGCATATTTGATAAATAATAATTGATCTTCAATATATACAGAACCCAGACATACAGAACAAAATATACAGAAAGGTTCTGCATATTTGATAAATAATAATTGATCTTCAATATATACAGAACCCAGACATACAGAACAAAATATACAGAAA